TTCGAATAACACCTGTGGACTCTGATGCATACGTGGTAATCTGGGTGACGCTCAGTAGAGTATCTTTCCCTATAAAGGGCTGCAGCAGCACTTGCGTTGTTTCTGCATTCACCATAAATAAAGTGCACGTTTGCGTATTCTTGTGCCGTATATTGAATACGTAGCATCTTGATACACAATATCAGTCCAGATACAAGCTAAGTCGTCGTAAAGTTACCCAATAAAGTCCAAATCACAAAGCAAAACTAAGAGTCCAATGAAATAGCCAGGAGTCGTCGTCATAACACTGATTTTAAATCACAGAGAGCTCCAAAAGGAATGCACACATGCGATACCCAACAAGTCGAGAGACGCACTAAATACTTGCCTTTATGTGCCCAGTCTCGCGAGAAAAGGTACTATGAATTAACATTATACTCTACTCTCGCTCACTCATACTCTAACTATCCCTGTCTCGTAAATCGTAATAAATCACTGACTTATGGCGGCTCTTCACGTTGGCCAACATAGTGGCGAATGTGTTGGCAGAGATATTGACCAAGAATTTGTGATCGCGTCCACACGTTGCAAGGTCGTTCAGTTTGCTTCGGTTCAGGCCAAAGTACGGACGAATTTATTAAAATTATTATTGATGCGCTAACGGCTGCTGCAGTTTATTTATTCACAGCATACCACTACAACGTGAATGTGTATAAGAAAAGGGTGATCAAAAAGAAATGGACAAAAAGAAATTTTATTTCTTGACGGCTCCATGACGTAGTGCCTTGGCAATGAGTTGCTGCGCTGGGGGCCGCGGGTTCGAATCCCGCACGGAACAAGTATTTGTATGGCCTGCAAATAATTGCTCCAGGTCTGGATGTTTGTCCTTATGCAATTTATGTTTGTAAACTGCCTCCACGATACAGGAGAAAATCCTAGTGTGGGGGTAACCTTTTCTTAAAAAAAGACTTTAAAAAATTAGAAAATTACAAACAATTTTCGGCTTGGTAGGGCTCTGTAAAGCGAAAAGTTTTGCCATTGGTCATTGTTACTGCCATTACGTAGACACTAGTTACGATGCGTGCATATAAAATTTAAATCGGGTGCGTGCGATCACTCTGGGAGCTCGTAGCAAACTGAATGTGCGCCCAACGTGTGGACGCGGCGGCCAATACTCTGCCACAACCCTTTGATATTTTGTAAAAAACCGACACCACACGGATTTCGCGCCAACTTGTGGGCCATCATTCCAATACATACCAACGTAAGCATAAACACCCGCTCTACACGATGGCCATCGTTATTGGTCAACACATTCGCCAGTATGTTGGCCAACGTGAAGAGCCGCCTTTAGAAGTATATGGACTGGGCATACCTACAGAATTAGCGTGACTACGTAAACACATCTGGCGCATAAAATGGCCGCCTTTTATAGTGTTGTGACTCAGCAATATGGGCAACTGATATCGATATTTTTACTAATATGAGTTTGTTCTTATTTCATATAATTATAGAAATTAAATCCGTAGCCTAATTGCGTAACACACCTAAAATGGCAAACCATATCAATTTGACAGTTTAAAAACATCCATTGCGTTGTTTTTGTTGTCGAGCAAACGAATTTTTCAATCACATGAAGCAATGGATATTGTTGGGTTGTTAAATTAGTTTTGGATTGTTATCCCTTAAATTTCGCTTGAGCTGCTTCACCGCATATGTACACTTACGTAACGCACACTGCTACAGATATTTTTGTGTTAGGTACACAGTCGAACAATGAGTTAAGTATGCAAGCAGCTAAATTGCAACTTGTTTTAAGCAATGTTCTGAGTGTGCTAAGTGCTTACTCAAGTTTTGAAGTTATACTTCTTTTGGCGCGTTTGTGAAAAATGAGGAGAGTGATTTTTTTACAACTTCAATTGGTAATTGTCTGTCAATTGTTAAGTTTTCGTGAGAAATGATAACTATACTCGAGGTAGTTATTCAAATATATATGAATGTATAAATGTGTTTTATTTTAGTTATTTTTGTTTTGTTACGCTAAAGAAGTATAACTTCTTACGTGCGTACATAAGTAAACACACACGTTTTGTTATATCAATGTGAACAAAGTTAAAAATGATAACCCACACAATAAAAATGAATATTGAGTGTACACGCCCCTAGCTGCCCCAACAAAGTAGACTGGACTAGGGCCCATCAGTAGTCCAATCGACGAGCAGCAGAGGGACGGGGCCCAACGGCCTATGGACAATTAACCTATCATACTATACAATAGAGATAAGGCTAGGTAAATAAATAGTACGTACATGGTTCCGATGCTAAGATCGCCCCAAGGCTCGGTCAGGCCGTAGGTAGGTGCATATAAAGTGGCGTATAGTAGTGTTTATATATGTGACCTGAACCTAAATGAGGTGATCGGGCAGCGGCCTGGTCCCATGCTGCCCCACAATGCTGCATCACTCCAGCAGGAGTCACCAAATGACAACTTCTTTCTTCATTTCACAATTTCAGTCTATCAACTTTATTGTACATTTAACTAACTTCAAACTCAACTAATTCAACGTTCATCGTAAATTCAAACACGTGACACCCGACACAAGTAACGAACAGTAATTCAAAGTTCAATATTCAGTGTTCCGGATTCATTTATCTCCAAATTACAAATAGGGAACTAACGCGATCTCTTCTCGAGTCACAAAGTTCAGCGTTACAAACAACAACTAAATTCCTTCGTACGATATTAAATACTACGCCGCAATAAGAATTCAAAATCAACCTAGCTGAGACGCAAACTAACTAGAGAGTCAGCACACAAAAGGTTCTTAACGCGACGGTACAATTAAACAATGACTTTCAAAAACAATTAACCGGGTCACGCCCTCGAAATGGAATGCGAGCTTTAAATTCCAGACCGTATCTCTACTCGGCATGCGCGCAAGGTTCCATGTCACACAAGCATGTTAAATATTGCAAAATGCACTTCAAAACACAATCACTATCTAATTGACGCAATTACTTTCAAACGAAATTACTTTAATCAGTCAAACTCAATACAAGCCTCTTGTCACGAACGTCCAACTTAGACAATCTAATTCGAGGCGGTCCTCACGAACCACAAATTAAATAGCGAATTAAACGTGCACAAATACTAAAAATCTAGACCACAAAAACCAAAACTGTTCGCGCGAAAAATCGCTGCAGCGGTCACCACAAAATAGGTTAATCGACCGCGCTGCTGCTCTCAAGCTACCGACCTCGCACTCACGAGGCCGAACGCCGGGAAGTGGCATACCGCTGCCCCCCCCCCCCCCGGCGTCGCGCACATCACCTCACACCATCGGGCGATGCGCCCAGTCAAACGTGATTGGATTGCGTCTCAAATGCCCAAATTTGGGCCTAAACAGACAGAATAGTGAGAAAACGAATATTTTTGCTTGTATACCAAATACCTTTGTTTACTGTACAATAATATTGTACAGTAAACAAATGTATGGAGATGGGATGGCATATTGTTATCCCATATTATAGTATTTTAATATAAAATAATAATGATTAGTTGAGTAAAAATTAAATAAACTGTTTTTAAAATCAATACTTATTTATTATTAATTGGTATATAGGAACGTTCTGCACATAATTTATCACAAATGGTATGTTATATAGGCATGTTCGGTCCTGCTGGATATCATATTTAATTTTTTTATTCAGATTTGAAATGAAAAATATAAATATTTTCGCAGGTACATTAATTTTGTTCATTTAAAATTCGAAAATCTGGCATGATTATGAAACGGTGGATGAAATATGATATCTAGGATTTATAAAATATTATTATTATTATTATATATTCATTTCTGAACAAAATTAATTTATTAAAATAATTTCTATCGACACCATAGATAAGAGTGTACGACACTATTTCATTGCTTTTTTGACAGTTTGACAGCAGATCTACCTCAAAACTTGGCACTTAACATGGCGGCGCAGTCACGCATGGATAAGCTAATGACGTCAAACAAAAGTATTACCAAAATAAGCACTTTACAAACTGTAAATGTCTCTCTTTTCTATTGCAGCTATTGCTTTGTTAAAAAGATACAAAACTAGTTTAGACAAGTGTGTGTCGATATTATAGATATTTGTATAACTATTATTTCTATAGAGGAATATGCCCTCTCCATAGGTATATATCTCTATGTAATAAACAAAAGATGGGTAGCGTGGGTCACACTCAATACCGATATTATACGATCTTTACCAAGGAACATACTACTCTGTAGCGAGATCTTTACTACAGTAAAAAGGACTCCTTCACTTAAGAACGCCCTTGTCATTTTCACCGGTAAAGAAAAGATAAGATTTTTCTTTAATTTTCTATCTTTGGATAAAATTATATATTATACCATTTTGTAAACTGTATTAACTGCGCATGTTTTTGAGATAGTTGGCCACTTAGGTCTTCATACCTTTTTTTTCACGAATGGCTCTCAAACTTTTATCAAAATTATTTTTTTATAAAATTTCATGCTAAGTTTTTTTTTGCAAAAAAAGTACCATAGATAGTCATACTCTTTACTGCATTTCTAATAGAATAGTCTGTGAGGAATAAGAGAACACTAAAAACGCAACGTATTTCATTAATTTGCTGCAGTGGTGTACATGAAAGTACAGTAAGGTCAATAAAAACATATTTTTTTAAACCATCATATTTTTGGCACCACTTGGAATATATATTTTTTTTTATATTTTTATTTGAGCGCCTGATACCTGTACTATTAGGCGCTCCAGGATTATCCATTCTTTCTGGGACACCCGATATATAATAATCTATGATCACTAATACAAACATTGGAAAAGCTTACCGTCAAATTAATATCTGTTTTTTCTTTAAGATGTTGAATAGAGTCATAATTCGCAATAATTAAAATGGAATGAATGAAAATATGAAAAAATAGTTATAAAATCTATCCAATCGTATAACAATTGCTGTTCCGTAAATGATGGATATCTATTTCCAGGGTAAAAGAACAGAGGATCTTGTTTCTCGGCTCATGAGAACAGCGCCGTCTAACGGCAGTCTACCGTCGCGACTTGAAGTATTCTCAAGGCAACTCATGCTACAGTCTATCGCCTATTCACCCATGGGGATGTGTACACTGGATCGTCCTTTAGTTGCCTCTGTGAGTTTACACGTTTGTATAACGTAAAAAAGCAAACTTGGAATTTATTTAATTGCATGTGACCAGCACAAACCGACAACCGAAAGGTACTAGATGGAGTGACCTAGTAAGACATACAGGCAGTCAATCGATGCAGATGGCTCAGGACCCTGCTTTGTGGTATCCTTGGGGAAGGCCTATATTCAGCGCTGGACTTATGACGGGCTATAATGATAATGATGATGACATTATTCGCATTTCATGTACATACTTATTACTTAAAAGTAAATAAATAGGTATAATTTATTTGTTACAGGTACTTGGCGCTGTAACAACTTACCTCGTGATTCTCATACAATTTCAAAGATACGACACTTAAGTTGAGATAAAGTCGTCCAGTTGCATACCATTTTGCATTAAATAAATTATAACCTGTAACTCTCTTTACTAATAAAATTACACCTCTCAATGTATTAGTGTATTATTATAGTTGGAAATAGTTTGTAGTAAATATTATACCTCAGCCGTGTAGTGGCGGTCAAGAATATCCACTACCCTATATCTTCCCGTGGGTGTCGTAAAAGGCGACAAAGGGAAACAGGCAGGAGATGGGCAGCAGCATCTTCCTGATAGTAGCCGAAATTACAACTATGCAACTATGGCAAATACCCCCCTATGAAGATATTAATAGAGACGGCCCCCAGTACCCGGCGGTCCCGCTATTCCTGGCTACGGTGGCGACCATGGTAACAGCGGGGCAGGGGGTGCTAAGAATATCTGGTGCAAGATCTGTTTGCCAGAAAGAGCCAACTACCAAAGCCGAGGACCGAGTGTGGCAGCATCGTTTCCGAGGCACCTGAGATTTTGAGTGAGATTGAGAGGTTCTATGGGCAGCTATACACGTCATCGTTGGAGCCACACGCAAGTGTGAGTAACGATCCAAGAGCGAGTCTTATCCGACATTATTCCGAAGATATCCCGGACGCCAGTCTGAGCGAGATTAGAATGGCTCTCCAGCATCTTAAAAACGGCAAGGCCCCAGGCGAGGATGGAATTACAGCGGAGCTTCTGAAAGCGGGTGAAAAACCGGTACTTGAAGTCCTTCAGAAGCTCTTTAATTCCGTCCTCCATGGTGGCATTACACCGTAGACGCGGAGCAGAAGTGCGGTGGTCTTGTTCTTCAAGAAAGGTGACAACGCTCTCTTGAAGAACTACAGACCGATTTCCCTTCTGAGCCGCGTCTACGTGTTGTTTTCGAGAGTCATTACGAATCGTCTCGCGCGCAGACTTGACGACTTCCAGCCTCCCGAACAAACCGGTTTCCGAAAGGGCTTTAGCACCATAGACCACATACATACCCTTCGGCAAGTTGTACAGAAGTCCGAGGAGTACAATTTGCCACTATGCCTGGCGTATGTGGACTAAGAGAAAGCCTTTGATTCCGTCGAAATTTGGGCGGTGCTGCAGTCCCTTCAGCGGTGCCAAGTTGACTGTCGGTATATCGAAGTGCTGAAGTGTTAGTACAGTAGGGCTACGATGGCTATCCGAGTACAGAACCAGAGTACGAAACCTATCCAATTGCAGAGAGGTGTAAGACAGGGTGACGTCATATCCCCGAAACTCGTCACCGCTGCATTGGAAGACGTTTTCAAGCTCCTGGACTGGAAAGGATACGGTATCCACATCAATGGCGAGTACATCACTCACCTTCGATTTGCCGACGATATAGTCCTTATGGCAGAATCGCTGGAGGATCTAAGCACCATGCTAAATGACATCAATAGTGTCTCCCAACGGATAGGTCTTAAGATGAACATGGACAAAACAAAGATCATGTTCAATGTCCATGTCACACCTATGCCGGTAGTAGTTGTTGGGAGCACTAAGCTCGAAGTTGTTGACGAGTATGTTTACCTGGGACAAATATTCCGACTAGGTAAGTCCTACTTCGAACGAGAGGTCAATCGACGGATTCAACTCGGCTGGGCAGCGTTCGGGAAACTACGACACATCTTCTCGTCAAACATTGCTCAAAACCTTAAAACGAAATTAAGTGCGTGTTGCCAGTGATGACTTACGGATCTGAGACGTGGTCCTTCACTGCTGGCCGTATGAGGAAGCTCAAGGTCGCTCAGCGAGCTATGGAGAGGGCTATGCTCGGAGTTTCTCTGCGTTATAAACTTAGAAATGAGGATATCCGCAGTAGAACCAGAGTGACCGACATAGCCCAACGGATTATTAAGCTGAAGTGGCAGTGCGCCGGCCATATAGCTCGAAGAACCGACAACCGATGGGGAAGAAAGGTTCTTGAGTGGCAGCCTCATACCGGTAGGCGAAGTGTAGGGCGACCCCCACGAGATGGAGTGACGACCTGGTAAGACATGCAGGAAGTCGATGGATGCAGGTGGCTCAGGACCATGCTTTGTGGCATTCCTTGGGGGAGGCCTTTGTTCAGCAGTGGACTTATGAAAGGCTGTGATGATGATGATGAAATATTATACCTAATTATTTTATACGGAGATGGTAAAAGAGTGGTATAAAGATGGTCCCTGTTGGACGCCCACCTTAACAATTAAAAAAAAACTATCGTTATACTTTTACTATTTAATATCCTTTTCTCGGTTTAAGATGTTGATGATCAATTGAAGATGTTAATGATTCAATCAGGCCATCCACGACTTTATCTGCCACCAGGGCGGCGCCTTTAGAAAGTGAGGTATAATATTTGACAGATTTCATAGCGGTGAAGTTATTTTGTTCGGAAAATGTAAAGGTTATTGTTTCTTTCTGTACTATTAGCTATATTTTATATTAATAAGATTAAAAATAAATAAACCAAACCAGATATTCATTAAAGAAAAATTAAAAAAAAGTTAAATGTGCAAAAGAGAGCAAACCACTAATGCATTGTATTGTGTATTAATATAATACTCTAGAAACTGATAAACTTTTATTAAAAACCAACTTCTCAATTAAATGACATTGTGTAACAAAAAACTTTACCTCAGTGCCAACTAGCGATATCTGGTGAGCAGAAAATGATTAGCCCTCATTGACGGCTCTGTGGCGTAGTGCCTTAGCATTGAGTTGCGGCGCTGAGGGCCGTAGGTTTGAATAGCATAGCAATAGCAATAGCACGGAACAAGTATTTGTATGGTCTAATCCATTTAACAGTTTATACGTGACTGGGATACAAATATCCTAACACATTCAGGAAATTTCTAATTATATAATATCATTATGGATTATTTGCAGTCACTCTTGAATCACAACACTTGGGTCACATCTTGAATAGAATGGCCTAATTCTAGTCAAGACAAATAAAAGAAAACAAAAATGTTAATTTAAAATTGTATATTTTATTAAGATAAAAGTATGTTATTAGAAAAATCTTCGACATATTGATACTTAACGAGGCTATATCGAAATGGTCATCTATACACCAACTATACAACGCACAGCACATATCAATCTATCCAATGCGATCCAATATTCTGACACTCATAGGAACATTTGCACCTTATAGTTATTTTTTTTTATAGGATAGGGTGACAAACGAGCACACAGTTCACCTGATAGTAAGTGGTTACTGTGACCCATAGACATCTACATCTATCCTCAATAAAGAATCAAAATGCAGATGCGTTGTCATCCGTGAGGACTAAGATAGAATGCCTCTTTTCTTTAGTTATTACATCTAACTACATCGTTAATTGTCTAGCGTGAATTCTTCCAGCTTTAGCTTAAGAACAAACCAAATATATGCTATTCTAATATTTGTTTTTGATCTGTTTTCTTACATAAGTATTCGTGTTAAAAATATTTTTGTATATATCAGAAGTTCCTATTCAAGTAAATTAGCAACAAGCTTATTCACTTGAATATTGAATTTTAAAATTAAAATCCTGAAGTAAGCTGTAAAAACCACGCTCACAATGGGGGAAGGGAGCAAACAATATCTACAATATATTTTCAATTCATTCCTAATCACTATTTTAATACTTTCCGTCAAACGTTCCCACTTTCGTTACTTTTGTACACATAACAACCTCTCGAACTCTTGTGTAAACCATAATATTATCAATTTATATAAAGCTATGTATTTAAAATACTGTATGGGACGGAACATAATAAAATTCTTATTGATTTTTTGTAACTATTTTCAGGTACAAAAATTATGTATAATACAACAAAAGAAAGCAGTTTTATATCAGTATAAGTATTTAAATACACATTTTACCAATTTTGTCAATTGAGACAATGCTTTAAATAGGGCTTCTGAAATTTTCAATTATTTCCAACGGCTGCTATTAATAAGTCTGAACGATAAATATCGCATAATTAGCAATCCGTTACCGAAGGGTTGTTATGTGAACATGGTGAAAACCTAAAAATAAAACGTAACATAGAATCGACTTTGAAACATACACAATACTATATAAATGAGAAATATATGAGACAAAGGCAAACGTGAACACAAATCATGTCGTGTTACTCTTGTACTTGTAAAAACTTTCCATTTCATTCAATGTACATACAACGACCGAGCATGGTCTTATATCAGAGATTCACAAAATGAATCAAATGATTATCAACAACAGTTCCCATATAATATGGACTCTCATATTACAGACAAAATTTGTTAGAGCGATTAAGTTGTGCAAACATAGAAATTCTAATGTCGGAACAAATCAAACCAATAACGCTCTCTCTAAATATTTATCTCTTATTGTAAATATGTTATATTACATACACGAAACTATGTATCCACTATAAACAATCTTATAAAGAAATTGCACTTAAACATATCACTTATATATAGCTAATACTTTCACAATCTATTATGTCTATCTTTCTGAACAATTTTAAATGCAACTTTTCGATCCAAAAGCACTTTCCTTTAAAAAGAGTCTGTTATTTACGATTCATTGATTTACTTTATTAGACAAAATTCAACATTGTGTTTTTTCAAGTTCAAACACATCTCAGATCTACTCACTGAAACAAACTTTGTACTTTTAACTTGGGCAAGTACTGCGGCTGCTCTTGCTTTATGATTTTCACCTGAAATTTTAAATAGAATAATAAGTACTCTCGTTTGTAGTGCCGGCGTAAGTGAATATACTAATCCACAAATCCACTACCCCATAACGTCTAAAAGGCGTAAAATCTCGTAACGTCGAAAAGGCGATATGTAATTCCTAGGAGATTCTTTTGCTAAACTTTAATGATGTTGTTGATGATGAATAAGTTCTCACCGTGTGGCAAGTGGCATAAGAGAATTCATCACCTCGTTTCACCCTATGGTTCTTAGGAGGCGACTTAGGATTATGCCCAGATCTTCTGGCCTCTGATAGATGATGGTATAAAAGATCACGAGGTGTAAAACACCCAGATCAGCAATGACCAATCAGCCTGCCATGCGTAACGATTAGGAGAAGGACATGGAAAAAGGAGAAAAGATCTCATTTTTATAGTTGTATATTTGCACATTTCAGATAATTAGTGTTAATGAGTATCACAATATGCCGTGTAGTGGCGTTTAAGAATATACACTACCCCATGTCTTCGCGTGGGTGTCGTAAAAGGCGACAAAGGGAAACAGGCAGGAGATGGGCAGCAGCATCTTCCTGCTAACAACAAAATTACAATAAAAAAACTGCGGTTGCCAACCCGCTTGCCAAGCGTGACAACTATGGCACCTCCCCCCACCCCCCCCCCCCCAATGATAAGAGTAACAAAGAGACGGCCCCCAGTCCCCGGCGGCCCCCCTATTCCTGGCTACGGTGGCGACCATGGTAACGGCGAGGCAGGGGGTGCTAAGAATCTCCGGTGGAGGTTCGGTTGCCACCTACGACGACTAGACCTGGCAACTTATAACGCACGCACCCTGAGGACTGACGAGGAGATCCTGGAGCTGTAAGAAGAGATAGACAAGTTGCGCTGGAATATCATAGGATTATCCGAGGTCCGAAGAGAGGGGGAGGACACGGTAATCCTCGAATCCGGCAACTTGTTCTATCACGGGGAGCGCGACCATCTGTCCCAAGGAGGTGTCGGATTTATCGTCTACAAGTCTCTCGTTAACAACGTTGTAAAGATTGGGAGGGTTGCGTACCTTATACTCAGAATCACCAAACGGTATTCGCTAAGGTCATACAGGTTTACGCACCAACCTCGGCACACCCCGATGAGGAGGTGAAGGAAATGTATGAGGATATCTCTAGAGCCATGCATTACTCCAAAACCCAATATACGGTGTTGATGGGAGACTTCAACGCAAAACTAGGCACTAGAGAGAACTGTGAGCTGAAAGTAGGGAAATTCGGAATAGGGCAACGGAACCCAAGGGGCCAACAGCTGGCCGACTTCATGGAGAAAGAGGGACTCTTTATGATGAACTCTTTCTTCCAGAAGCGGCCCCACAGGAAGTGGACCTGGTCGAGCCCCGACGGTTCGACAAAAAATGAGATTGACTTCATTATGACGACCAGACGACAACTGTTCAGTGATGTCTCAGTGATCGCGATGGTGAAAACCGGCAGCGATCACCGAAAGGTGATAGGCACACTGAACCTAAACATTAAGTTGGAGAGGTCACGTCTAATGAAGTAACGCTCCGTCCCCCTCGTGCTCTAATCCAAAGTCCCGAAACCTTTCAGCTTGAGCTACGAAACCGTTTTCAGTGCCTAGAAGATTGCAATGCAGTGGATGATATGAATGACAAGCTCGTGGAAACTCTTCATGCGGTCGGAGCTAAGTTTTGCAAGACCCGCCGCAGAAGAACACAAAAACTCTCCGATCACACTCTTAATCTCATGGCTGTTAGACGGGATATGAAGCTGCAGTCTTCAGTAGATTTGACAGCATACAGGCAACTGAACAGACAGATCTCCAAATGCATGCGGCGGGACTTACGCAAATTTAATACTGTTCGTATTGAAGAAGCGATCGAGCGGAACCAGTCTCCAAAGTCATTGCTAGAGATCTGTCTGCCAGAAAGAGCCAACTGGCGAAGCTGAAGACCGAGCGTGGCAACATCATTTCCGGGACACCTGAGATTTTCAGTGAGATTGAGAGGTTCTATGGGCAGCTGTACACATCATCGTTGGAGCCACACGCAAGTGTGAGTAACGATCCAAGAGCGTGTCTTATCCGACATTATTCCGATGATATCCCGGACGTCAGTCTGAGCGAGATTAGAATGGCTCTCCAGCACCTTAAAAACGGCAAGGCCCCAGGCGAGGATGGAATTACAGTGGAGCTTCTGAAAGCGGGTGGAAAACCGGTACTTGAAGTCCTTCAGAAGCTCTTTAATTGCGTCCTCCATGGTGGCATTACACCAGAGGCGTAGAGCAGAAGTGCGGTGGTCTTGTTCTTCAAGAAAGGCGACAACGCTCTCTTGAAGAACTACAGACCGATTTTTCTTCTGAGCCGCGTCTACGTGCTGTTTTCGAGAGTCATTACGAATCGTCTCGCGCGCAGACTTCACGACTTCCAGCCACCCGAACAAGCCGGTTTCCGAAAGGGCTTTAGCACCATAGACCACATACATAGCCTTCGGCAAATTGTACAGAAGTCCGAGGAGTACAATTTGCCACTATGTCTGGCGTATGTGGACTATGAGAAAACCTTTGATTCCGTCGAAATTTGGGCGGTGCTGCAGTCCCTTCAGCGGTGCCAAGTTAACTGTCGGTATATCGAAGTGCTGAAGTGCTTGTACAGTAGGGCTACAATGGGTATCCGAGTAGAGAACCAGAGTACGAAACCTATTCCATTGCAGTGAGGTGTAAGACAGGGTGACGTCATATCCCCGAAACTCTTCACCGCTGCATTGGAAGACGTTTTCAAGCTTCTGGACTGGAAATGATACGGTATCAACATCAATGGCGAGTACATCACTCACCTGCAATTTGCCGACGATATAGTCCTTATGGCAGAATCGCTGGAGGACCTAAGCACGATGCTCAATGACCTCAATAGTGTTTCCCAACGGATAGGTCTTAAGATGAACATGGACAAAACAAAGATCATGTTTAATGTCCATGTCACACCTATGCCGGTAGTTGTTGGGAGCACTAAGCTCTAAGTTGTTGACGAGTATGTTTACCTGGGACAAATAGTCCGACTAGGTAAGTCCAACTTCGACCGAGAGGTCAATCGACGGATTCAACTCGGTTGGGCAGCGTTCGGGAAATTACGGCACATCTTCTCGTCAGGTATACCTCAAAACTTGAAAACGAGACTGCACAACCAGTGCGTGTTGCCAGTGATGACATATGGAACTGAGACGTGGTCCTTCACTGCTGGCCGGATAAGGAAGCTCAAGGTCGCTCAGCGAGCTATGGAGAGGGCTATGCTCGGAGTTTCTCTGCGTGATAAACTTAGAAATGAGGATATCCGCAGTAGAACCAGAGTGACCGACATAGCCCAACGGATTAGTAAGCTGAAGTGGCAATGGGCCGGCCATATAGCTCGAAGAACCGACAACCGATGGGAAAAAAAGGTTCTCGAGTGGCAGCCTCGTACTGGCAGGCGAAGTGTAGGGCGTCCCCCCACTAGATGGAGTGACGACCTGGTAAGATATGCAGGAAGTCGATGGATGCAGGTGGCTCAGGACCGTGCTGTGTGGCATTCCTTGGGGGAGGCCTATGTTCAGCAGTGGACTTGTGAAAAGGGCTGTAATGATGATGATGATGATGAGTATCACAATTAGTTGTCAAACGAAGTTAATAACTTTCAATAGCAATCAGGATAGCATCAATTAAAATATCTATCTACTACTACAAATATCGTAAAAAAGTTAACTACAGGCAATCCCTACAACCTTATGTAGTCTCTAATTGAGTGTATCCACCAAACGAAATTTAGATGATGCAGTTATACATAAGTGTAAGTATATTCTATTTGTTATTAATTAACTATGTCACAGAAAATGATATACGCACCTCATCGTACATGGAATTCTCTTTCGGATCGAGCTCAAGCGGGTCTTTCAAATGCTGTAAAGAAATAATAATATGAATAATTCCCAATTTATAAATCTTACGAGACGTAGTAGATTAGGAGCGCTTAGCGCAATTACAAAAGCGAGCTATCAAAGTTTTCATTAACGTCAGTACCAATTAAATTGTGGTAGTTAAATTATCTGAGTTTCAAAGACCTTTACGTAGTTATAAACTTATATTTTCTCGATGTTGGATATTACCTAAACATAACACCGCGATGTATTCTACTACCAACTAATATCAAAGGATTCAATTTGTTTTTTCATAACACCTAACCCTACAGTAGGAGCGGTTTTAGCAAAGGCGTGTAACAAGCTAAGTGATACAGACGCTCGTACGGGGACGGAAGGCTATTGGATTTAATACGGCCGCCACAATAATCGGTAGGCTATTTTAACGAATCGAATAACGGTCGCATCTGAGGCGTGCTTTGCTTTTTTTCACTTATTATAAGGCAGTGCTTGACCATAATTCCACCTAGTGGTAAGTGGTGATGCAGTTCTAGATGGTAAATCGCACTGTCTTAGTAACAATCGCCTATTTACTTTTGCCTTGAAGACGCTCAGATTGTATTCGGACGGAAAGATAAGACACCGGCAAATAATTCCACTCCTTTGCTGTACGCATTACAAAAGACGAAGCAAACTGTTTGGTTCTAATGCGCGGAATGTCGACAACAAAGGGGTGAAGACCCGCCGACCGTCTGGTTGTCCAGTGGTGGAAAAAAGAGGGAGAAATTAAAACGTGTAATTCCTGCTTACTGAGCACTCATCGAGTGCTCCATGTGCTGGCGCGCGCACAGAGTATACAATGGACAGAGCGGGCGGGCGCGGTGCGGTACCTTGGGCGGGCGGCCGCGGCGCGGCGGCGCGTGGTGCGCGCGCGCGGCCAGCACGCGCAGCTGGTGCGCGCGCAGCAGGTGCTCCGTGTGCAGCGCGCACAGAGTATACAATGGACAGAGCGGGCGGGCGCGGTGCGGTACCTTGGGCGGGCGGCCGCGGCGCGGCGGCGCGTGGTGCGCGCGCGCGGCCAGCACGCGCAGCTGGTGCGCGCGCAGCAGGTGCTCCGTGTGCAGCGCGCACAGAGTATACAATGGACAGAGCGGGCGGGCGCGGTGCGGTACCTTGGGCGGGCGGCCGCGGCGCGGCGGCGCGTGGTGCGCGCGCGCGGCCAGCACGCGCAGCTGGTGCGCGCGCAGCAGGTGCTCCGTGTGCAGCGCGCACAGAGTATACAATGGACAGAGCGGGCGGGCGCGGTGCGGTACCTTGGGCGGGCGGCCGCGGCGCGGCGGCGCGTGGTGCGCGCGCGCGGCCAGCACGCGCAGCTGGTGCGCGCGCAGCAGGTGCTCCGTGTGCTCGCGCGCGCACAGGAACCGCGCGCCGCACGATGAGAACACGCACGACACCGGCCCGCCTCCACCGCCACCACTCTCTGCACAATGCACCGAAACACAACTACTTTAATCGCTACTCTACACTACTTAACTTCAAACACTTCTATGTATAATACTAGAAAGATATTAAGAATATCCATTCTCCGTAAGTTGAATAGAAGTGAGAAAAAAGACCAGTTTTGCGCACCGCAAACAACACCAACTTCATTCGCTACTCGACTCGACTCGATTTCAAACACTTCTTAGTATACTACTAGAAGAGCTCCGCAGTCTTAATGTGTACATTACGCACTAAATTACGCTCAATTTTCCGTTTAATGGTAACCGAATGCTAACAAGAAGATTAATTCTGCGCACCGCAAACATTACCAACACCTAAATAAAACTAGATTTTACGGATTTTACCATTTTAGTAAGTTCATAGAAGGTTATTTTGCAGTAACCGGTCAAATTTGCAGAAAATGTACTGGATAAGAAACAAACCATGAAGAAGTTTATTAAAAAAAATCTCAATCATTCTATCATTTTTATCTTTTAAATTCAATATGCATTGTAATGCATTATTTCAACTGATTGTCATTCATTAATATCTAACGCGTACTTTTTTACGCGCAAACACATTCGTAAGGCTCGCTCGGTAAGGTACCTTGTAGCGCGTCTTCACACGCCCATTCCTTTTATTTACCATTACACCGTTAAGTACCTACGTCTGTTCGTCCGACCGACAGTTGACCGTGACCTCATAACCTACGTTTCATTACCAATGACGTAACGAAAATATTCCAATCACGGATACTATGAAACTATGAAATGGTGCGATATTATATTTTAACCAATGAAAGTTTACGTGGTGCGCAAAGATACTAAAATGATTCTTTACCGCGGCAAGAAATTAACGTACATGTCATAATTAATCTGGCAATCGAAGAACAATTGACAGATAATCAAACTATTCAAGTACAGTGAGCGATAACTTTAATAGTGAATATAAGATAGGTGGATTGTGCACGGAGGCCCTATAGTTTGGTCTGCAAACTCGCAGGAATTTTCACCCTTATTTTTTTATCTGTGTATAAAGAGTCGTTGTTACGGCCTACGGCTGCTCCCTTAACGGATCCAATCCTCTGGGGCCCATGAGCAGAAGACTTCCCGAGCAAACGTAGGTCGGGCCTCAATGTGGCCACGTGGAAATTCTCTAATTACACTAAATATACGGGGGAGCGTTCACTATGATAAAGGCACTCACCTGCTCCAGGAGCGGAGACGGTTCTCCAAGACCGACCCGGCTGATGACAGTGTCGTGAGTGTATGTGTGATTGTATGTACGTGTATGTTGACGTGGCCTGATCTGGATGACGCAATGCCGTCCGGGAGAAGGTATGCGCTGGTATCCTCGGAACTTTCCCCCTCTGGAGGCACTCTTCCTGGTTTGTCACGAAATGGGACAGCTACACGTAGTACTTCAGAGGTAAATCACTATTATAGTTGCACAATTAATTTAACAGAGTTATTAAGTCCTAATGAACGATACGGGTTCTCACAACGATTTACGAGGGTTGATACTTTCGTAACAAGTTAGGCGCGGAAAACGGACGTCAGTATAGCTCGCAAGGAATTCTACAATGACTCTCGAGAAGTCCGATCCCGCCGCGCAATGCGGCCGGGGGAGGGGAAGGTGACCTCGATATCGAGGCTAAGCGCGCGCGTTAAAGAACACGTTTCGAAGGTATAATATTCTTGCCTAAACAGTCGTGTTTACGTTAAAGATGCCACATGCAAAGTTATAAAGATCGCCACAGTAAAATTATTGCTGCGTTCACGGAAGTTGAAAGTGCTCAAAAACAGGTAATAAGTGTAAAAAATATTTTAAAAAAACGTGCTCGTACGGCCCGATGTACGTGATGGCACGGCCTGTCTGTTCGACCGTTCGGCAGTCTTCGGAAGCCCTAGGCTGAGTGGGCACAACTGATTCTGTTTTTCTCGCCTCGACAGTCGATCCCATCGTCCGACGCCGTCAAGCTACTCGTTGGCGCTCCGATCCGCTACTTTGAATTTACGTTGTGAATAAACGGTTATTTAATATGTGGTGTGTTCGTTATTCACATCTCCACAACAGAAACAGATTCCATTTTTAGGTGCCAATAATCAGATATTGGGACTACTTGCGTAATTTAGTTGTAACAGGCCTGTCTCACTCCGCGCTTTAGGCATTAAAATATACCTACGCTACGCGACCGCCTACAAGAGACTAATTCAGTGAGGTTTTCATGCGCGCGCTCGATTTAACAAGCACCTTACATTAATAATAAAGTTTTTTTTTTTCTTATAAGTATTTTAGGCACTTTTGATATTTATTTTTGAGTTTTTATTCAAGTATGGCTACTCAAACAGCCCAAAGGTACTGCATAGCATACGAGTGCTTAAATAACAATAGGAATGTTGACTTTTCATTCTTTACTGGACTAGTTAGTGAACTAAGGATATCGAAAGGTAATATATTACTATTTATAGGTAGATCTCGATAATTAGGTACTTAGTTAATGACGCCATAATTACAGATTTATTATTTGATTAGCGATCCGACCACAGCTACGCAGTTTTCGATATTTTCGCGTATAATGTCAATGAATTTAAATTTTCCGTTTAAGTAGACCTACCAGTACTAGGGACTGCCTACTAATGCAAGAACAGATTATTCTGGTAATTAGTTAAGTAATTACTTGATCGATAAAAGAAAGGGATTGAAAATAGCAGCACTTCTCATTGCCACTCTTTCATTAATCGGCATTACTAATGAATCGCATGTCACATGTTTGCAAATAGCAAAAAATGTGAAACAGACAAGTGACGGCTCCGTAGCGCAGTAGCTTATCAATGAGTTGCAGCGCTAAGGGCCGTGGGTTAGATAACCTCGCAGAACAATTCTTTGTATGGTCTAAAATAATTGTTCTGGATCTGGATGTTTGTCCTTGTGAAATCTATGTATGTAAACTGCCCCCAGTGATACAGGAGAAAATTCTAGTGGTAGAGGTAACATTTTTTAAAAAAGAGAGGAAGAAAGACAAGTAATGATATCAAAAATTTTGTAGTCCGCGCGGCAGGAGTCCAGGACTCCCTTTTCCGACAGACGTGGCCTGATCTGGATGACGCAATGCCGTCCGGGAGAAGGTATGCGCTGGTATCCTCGGAACTTTCCCCCTCTGGAGGCACTCTTCCTGGTTTGTCACGAAATGGGACAGCTACACGTAGTACTTCAGAGGTAAATCACTATTATAGTTGCACAATTAATTTAACAGAGTTATTAAGTCCTAATGAACGATACGGGTTCTCACAACGATTTACGCGGGTTGATACTTTCGTAACAAGTTAGGCGCGGAAAGCGGACGTCAGTATAGCTCGCAAGGAATTCTACAATGACTCTCGAGAAGTCCGATCCCGCCGCGCAATGCGGCCGGGGGAGGGGAAGGTGACCTCGATATCGAGGCTAAGCGCGCGCGTTAAAGAACACGTTTCTAAGGTATAATATTCTTGCCTAAACAAACCCCCGCCCCGGACATAAGGCATTAGGTCCGCGAGTAGATTGGCAAACGGGACAAGGTCGCGACGGCACGTTGCAAGACCGAATCTCCGACCAAAACCTCGGCCACTCTAGGCACCCCATCCGCTCCATACGACAACTTAACAATGCGCCCACGGCGCCAATACAAAGGTAGAGCGTTTGGTTCTTTAACCAACACGAGGTCTCCCACCCGAGGAGGCTCCGTCTTGTCAGACCACTTAACGCGCTGCTGCAAAAGATGTAGGTACTCCAGAGACCATCGGTGCCAAAAGCTTTGAGTCATCATCTGTTGCAGCAGGGCAAACCTGCTAAGCCGTGAAGCGCTCGGTTCCCTGAAGGGGTACTCGGGCAGAGCGTTAAGAGGCTGGCCAATCAGGAAGTGTCCCGGGGTTAGAACTTCCAAATCATTCGGGTCGGAGGAGAGGGGACAGAGCGGCCGAGAGTTGAGTACCGCCTCAATTTTACAGAATACAGTGGCGAGCTCCTCAAATGTCAAAATAGCTTCACCAATTACGCGACGGAGATGCGTTTTTGCCACTTTAACCACCGCCTCGAAAATACCACCCCAGTGGGGACACGCCGGAGGGTCGAATTTCCACTGGATGCCCCTTTTTGACATAGCATTGCGTAAATAAGTCCGGTGGCTAGACAGAAACTCGACGACCTCCTTTAGACAGCTATCCGTGCCCTTATAATTCGTTCCGCAACCCGACCGGATCAAGTCCGGCAACCCGCGCCGCGATACGAAACGGCCAAGCGTGGCCAAGAAGGCTTCCGTGCTGAGGGCGCTTACAAGTTCCAAGTGAACGGCTTTAGTGGAGAGGCACACGAAGACGCAAAGATAGGCCTTATGCGAACGAGCGTTACGAAGGTTAGAGGACTTGACGAGGAAGGGGCCAGCAAAGTCGGTTCCGACTCCAGCAAATGGTCGGATGGCCCTGACGCGGTCGGGCGGCAAGTCACCCATGAGGGGCTGCGATATGGTGGCCTTCAGTTTATAACAGGATATGCACTTAAAGATGACGCTCCGGATGATACGTCGGCCAGCCAAAATCCAAAACTCCCGCTGTAAAATAGCCGAAAGAACGTTGCACCCAGCGTGGGCATTCTTAACATGGTGGTGGGCTACCAGCAATCGGACCAGGGCGCCGTCCTTAGGGAGCAGCAGCAAACGTCCGCCAACGCGCAACATCCCCGCGTTATCCAGAAAGAGGTTCAGGCGGGCCAGGGCCCTTGATAACGGAGCCACGCTTCAAGTTTTCAATGACGGGCTCAAATTGCTCCGTTTGGACCATACGGGTCCAGTGCATCAAAGCTTCACGGCGCTCGCTAGGGGACAAAATGCTATCAGAGAGTCGGTGGGATGGGTATCTCGAATTGCGGACAAAGCGACGCAACCAAGCAGTAACTCCCAAGAGCTTATCGAGGGAGCTGTACCGTTCCAGAAGAGAGAGATCCCGA